CTCTAAAAAGCAAATATTTAGCATAGCACTAGATCTGTTACAAAAAAAAAAAAAAAAAAAAAACCTTTGCAGTTTGACTTAATAGAAGAAAATAGTTTTCATGTTATCACAAATGGAGAAAGAAATAATTATCTTAATAAGCACTACCTTTCTTTATCTTCAAATTTAACTAACATTCTGTCTCTTAAAAATCACAATAACTTTCATGACTCTTCATAATAACAGTATTTTATATTTTCTGCAATGTGAATGTGTGAAAAACTAAATATCACATTTTAAAAATAAACTACATGACCCACACACTATATTTCATATTATTTCTGTTTTGATGTTTTCAGTTGTATTACTAGTCTCCCAAGGAACACTTAGACACTATGATGACTTATGAAAAAAAAATCAATGGCATTATATGTTTGAAATACAAATGTACATTTGTTCGTATATATGGCATGTTCAACATATCAATATTCAGAGCACAATTTATAAATGTTAAATGATTGCAAGAAATAAAAAACTGGGGAAAAAAATCCAGCCTTTCACACTGAACGCTCTTATAATCTAGAAGTAGAAACAAAGTAATTAGAGAATATAAAGAAATCATCAGAGAAGTACAGAGTGTTCTGACAGTGCAGAAAACTGAAGAAATCCCAAATATCAGGAAGATTCTAAAGTTTCATGAATAATGTCTTTGATTGTCCACTTATGATGAGTTTGTTTTTTTCAAAGTGAGAAAAATCGGAGATTGGAAGACATGTGCCAAGCAAAGACAACAGAACAGCCACACCATGGCCCCATGAGAGACAGGTTCACTGTGACATGAGGCATACAAAAGGCAGACTGGAGACAGCTTCCAACGTCAAAGCAACAATTTAAAAAAAAAAATCATTAGCGCATTGTAGCTCCACCTAACAGTGGGTGTGGGAGGCCAACCTTACCGGTGACTGAGTTACACTCCCCAGCTGGGTGCTGAGGCGCTCAGTCACAGAAATGGGTGTGTCTTGCTACAGCCCCATGGGTGAAGCTATGCTCACCTGTTCCTTTGTAATATAACCCCTTGCCCTGTTTAGGATAGAATCTTCCATGGAAGTGCCTTGTGTGTGTCCCCTCCTCTTACTGTGCCCTTGGGTGTGGCCTACCCAGGTGTCAGTCAACCTGCTGACAGTGGACATCATGAAGATAGACTCAGCCCCCTGAAACCTGACCCCTTGCCTCATTTGAATAGCTTCTCCTCAATAAAAGTGTTCAGCACGTGCTCTCTCTCTCTCTCTTTTTTTCTGCGGACCCTTAAGGTCAGAGGAGCCATCACAGCAACCCCAAAGAAAAAGGTATTTGTGTCTCTTGTGTGGTTATTTCGTGCAGCCCAGTTAGCCCAGTTTAACTAGAGTGACCCCTGAGCCTTTTAGTCGTGAGAACAGAAACCCGGCAAGTGGGGTTCATTCATTTAACCTATTTGGAAATGCATATAACATAGTTTTCTCCATTTCAGTCCTCAGCGTCAAGGCAAATATTTTATATATAATTCCATCAGAAACCTTGAGTCACAAAGTTTTACTCATGAAAGTAACATATAAATCTAGTACACAAAGATCAATCCAGTTGCAGTGTAGATAGATAGGGTGAGCTGAAGTGGGTTGAAAATCAGAAGACTGTTGCCAAATTGTCTAAGTAAGAGGTAAAGACCTAGGCCAGGGCCCTGGAAATGATGAAAGATAGAGATTTGGAATATATTAAAGATGTGGACTGCACAAGTGACAAGATGTGAAGAATGAGAGGAGAAAGGTAGTGGGCAGGTATTGAGAGCCACTGTGAGCAGAAGGGAGGTGTGTTCAGAAAAGGAAATGGGTTGAGTCAAGATGGAATTGTTCCAGTGGAGCACCACCAGCCATCAGTTAGATAGACAAAGAGTCATGATTGAAACCTGGACTCAGTTCAGAGGGGGGAGTCAGAGTTCAGAGAACCACTGGCAGATCTAGGAGCAAGTACCCAGAATAATTTTCAAAGGCATCTCCTAAAGAAAGGCAATTTGTTCCCCCCAAGACACTGCTGATCCTTCACTTTTAACCTGGGAAAAGGAACACTCCTGAAACAAGGTCTCTCGTGAGTGAGAGAAAAACTCCTTTACAATTCTTAACAGTTAGCATAGCAAAGCAAGGACCTAAAAAGTAGAAGAAATAAATGAACTCTTTATGACAATAAGATTTTACCAACAAATACTTTTTAAACATTTATATGCAAGCCACCAGATTTTGAGATTTTTAAGGTCAATGTTTGAAGTCATATCTGCAAGCTAAAAGAGCATATTTATGCCCAGATAGTAAATGAACATTCTGTTTAAAAAGAGCTGTTCAAATTTATTTCCAAATGTTCTTATAACTCACATATACAGCATAGTAAGAGATAAAATACTGTTGTATTGTGATAAGCGCTTATTAACTAACTCAATTCTCATTTCAGAAATTTTTAAAATGTAGAACTAAAAAAGTCTATAAAAGTTGTAAGCCTTTTATTTCCTGAGTGAGAAGTGAAACAAAATAAACCACTGATAATTACCAGCCACCCAGTCTAACTCGATGTTTAATGACAATGAATTGCTAAATTTTAGGATTCTAGAATGATGAGAAGACCTTTGGCTTATGGAATTCTCCACATCTTGGTCTATACAACCTTTAAATGTACTTGGAAAAATACAAAAGAATGGAAGGCAGAAATAGAGATAAACTATCAGATTAAAAATTTTTTTTTAAATTGGGGCCAGGGTGCTGGAGATGTGGCTCAAGCGGTAGCGCGCTCGCCTGGCATGCGCGCGGCGATGGGTTCGATCCTCAGCACCACATACAAATAAAGATGTTGTGTCCGCCGAAAACTAAAAAATAAATATTAAAAATCTCTCTCTCTCTCTCTCTCTCTCTCTCTCTCTCTCTCTCTCTCTCTCTTAAAAAAAAAAAATTGGGGCCAGGTTGTGGCTCAGTGGTAGAGTGCTTGCCTAAGACACTGGGTTCAATTCTCAGCACCACATATAAATAAATAAATAAAAGGTCCATCAACAACTAAAAGAAAAAAGATTTTTAAACTTTTTTAATGTATATATGACAGCAGAATGCATTACAATTCTTATTACACATTTAATTTAAATTTTAGGACTATCTAGAGTCCTGTTATGAAATCTTTCTTTGGTAGCTCTGATGAAAACAATTTTAACTTTTCTTTTTTATTCCCTTGATTAAAAGCTTCTAACCCTGTTTAGGTATAAAAATGTGTCTCCAACTAAAGTTCTTCCAGGCAACAGTCTGATTATACACCACCACTCTAGTGATGGATCAATGATATTTGACAAAGAATATATGGTCCATGTCCCGCAGTGAGTTGACATGCAAGGAAAACTATTACAATTTCTATTGACTTTTTTAGTTCTAAATTTTAAGACAGATAAATATTATGCCCAGAAAGTAAATGAACGTTCTGTTTAAACAGAGTTGTTCAAATTTATTTCTAAATGTTATCATAATCTTATAACTTATTTATAAATAAATAAATAAACTAACCTATGGATCTATAATAGTACATGTATGCTATTTATGGTCAACACAAAATATACAGGGCAATGGGTGTGAACTTATTTACTGAAAGAAACCATATGAAGAAAACAGATGCGTCCACAGTAGAGGGAAGGGAACGAAGAGAGAGAGGAGGGGAAGTATTGGGAACTGAATTACAGCAAAATATTCCATGCTTTTATAATGATGTCAAAATGAATCCTAATATTAAGTATAAATTTAAAAAAACTCATAAAAGATGAAAAACAGATGTATCAATACACTAAATTTTAAACCTCTGGATTGAAACTATACCTCGTTTAGGCTAATACCCAGTATCTATCTAGCACAAACGTGATAAAAATACAGTATTAAATTTTAATAAAAATCAGCTTATAATGAATAAAGACATGAAAAAGAAATCAGCTTTAAAAGCCCAAGTTCTACCATTTCCTTCTCTCTCAGTACACATACACAAAAATCACACTTAGTGTTGTTGGCAAAGCATTATCGTCTGTAATAGCCACTAATATTGCAATTTCACACCAGCCTGCCACATTTAATTCACTTCTTTCTTCAAAATGGCCTCTGTACTATTTCTCTGAGGGAACAAATCTATAATGGCCATGGTTTTCATCTTTCTTACTGATGTGTCTATCCCTGCCACCAAGAGAAGAAAACGCAACTCACAATGCTGAGCTAGCCTGCAGCTGAGGTGGTTCTGGAAATAAGTATTTTATTTACTTCAGATTGGACATAAAGCTCCAAAGTATTCACATGTCAGCCACACATCACTATGAATCATGTGTCTCTTTTGTAACTTGGTATTTGGAACAATGTGGGAAGGGTCAGGAAAAATGAAGGTAGTTGTGTGAATTTTGATATAAAATCAAAATCCTGCAGGGAAGATGTTGGGGTCAACCCAGAAGGTCAACTCTCTCTGAATATCATGTAAAACACTGAACAGCACAACTACAAAATTAATGTGTTTCTGTCTTTTTGTAATATCTGAAGGAAAAATATTTGTAACTCACTCCTTTTTTCAATTTTTCTTTTTTTTTTTTGGTACTCAGAATTGAACCCCAGGGGTGCTTTACCCCCTGAGACACATTCCCAGCCCTTTTTATTTTTTAAGACAGGATCTGGCTAAATTGCTGAGGCTGGACTGAAACGTGGGATCCTCCTGCCTCAGACTTCCAAATTGCTGGGATTACAGATATGTACCACCACACCCAGCTAACTTCCTCTTCTTAATATCTGGTATAAGTAATTTAATTGTGTTGAAAGAAATGTGATAGCGTAAATAAAATTTAATATGATCATTGAATAAATAAGGATGAACACTTCTGATTAGATATTAATAAATTAACAGGGTCCTAAAGGATATATGCAGGATACAATGAACATAGTGGTTAAAACAGATGTTGGAATAAACATAGTTTTTAGAATCTAAGCTCCATCACTTACCAATTCTGTGAGGGTGGGCAAGTTATTTAACTTCTCATAGCAAAGTATTAATTCCTCTTCAATGAATCTGCAATAACAAGGACCACATCCTCAGAAAGATCCGTGATAAATCAGATAATATACTTACAAGCACTTGAATCAGTATACTTAAGTAGTAAAGAAATACTTAATATTTTGTCATTCTCTCAAAATTCTTTCCACTTAACATGATCATAATAAAGCACCAGATCATGCATAGAGAAATTCTGGAAGGAATTAACCAAAGAAATGATGCCATTTCTGGCATCAGCAATATAGTTCCAGACTGTTTACTATTGCCCATTTCAAAAAGTTTCTAGTTGTTGTAAAAAGGTACATTATTATGATTAAAAATAAGCTAAACCATGCATTTTTTAAAATAATTGAAACCAAGAAAATATTTTATGGCAAGAGAAGACATACAGCCTGGGTCTAGGTCCTTGCTGGTCTGTGTTTTGTGAGAACATCACGCTTTTTTTTTTTTAAGAAAATCATGTGATACACTGGTTGAGAACATAGGTGCTGGTTTCGTTCCTAACTAGCTGGCTAATCTTGGAGGAGTCTGTACAACCCACTAAGCCCTACTTGCTTTTTTTGCAAAATGGAGTAAAAGCAGCCCATTCATGGAGTATCTCTAAAAATTCTTTCATTGCAACTATGTTTCTATAGTCATGGGAATCATGTCATTATTTTTATTATTATTTATTTAGGTACTAGGGATTGAATCCAGGACACTTTATCACTGAATTCCATTCCCAATTCATTTTATTTTTTTATTTTGACACAGGGACTAAGTTGCTTAGAGTTTTGCCAAATTGCTGAGGTTGGCTTTGAACCTGTGATCCTCCTGCCTGGGCTAACAGGCAAATACCACAGCTCCCAGCACCATTACTTTTGTTTTAAAAGATTTTTAAGACATTTTATAGTCTTTGTTATCAGATCTGTGTGCTAGTAGAGCATTAATAAATAAAATAGCATAAGCAAGAACAAAGCCAGTGCATATGAAAAAGGACATCCAATATGGTAGATGTCTTAATAAATAACGCTAGAGCATCACAGGAAAAGTAATTGGTTCGACTCCTCATATCTCACACCAAGATAAATTCTAAATGGAATCCAAATCTCAAATATGAAACCATGGGAGAAAACATTGGGGAATTACTTTGAAACTGGGAGTGGGGAAAATCAAAGCAAAAGGGGGAAAATAAAGACAACTCAATATGGTCAAAAAAAGATGGATGAACAGTTCACAGGAGAAAAGAATCACAAGGGGCCATCAGCATAAGACAGGTTGCTCAACCTTGCTAAGAGGAGAAATTCAAATTAAAACGATATGAGATCCCACTTTGTTACTTTTTGAATGAGTAAAAATTCCAAAAGTTGGACAACATACTCCAATGGTGAGACTGTGAAGAAAAATACTTATGGAAACACCAATGGTTCAACCCCAAAGGAGGGCAAATTGGCAATATCTAGCAAAATCACATAAGTATTTGCTTTTTAACCTAACAGTTCCCTCATAAAAGCAATTCACAAGAGTACTATTCTGATAATATATATATACATATATATAGGAAATGATAAATGTACAATATGATTCATTATAACAGTAGTAATAGCAAAGAACTGGAAATAACCCAATGCTCATCAACAAGAGACTGGCTAAAGAAATCACAGTACAGTTGTATAAGGGAGCTGTCAAAAGGTACAAGGCAGATCTTTGTGCACCTAATAAGTGATCCATAGGATCCAGTAATCAAGGAAAAAGACATGTACAGAATGATTTGCCTTATCTGTTACCATTTGGGAAGAGAGGGAAGAATGCATGTTATATAAACACTCTGACTTATATGTTCAAATAAATGAAGATGGGATGAAGCCAAGCTAATAGAGAGATCTTCAAAAATGAATTTTTACCAAGAAAAGGAAAAACACCCAAAAAGAAATGATGATGAAAACTAGTATCTCTTCCAATATATTTCATTTTGTAATTTTGATTTTGGGTAACCATGTTAACATTTTATACAACTAAAAAATATAAATAAAAAAACAACTTAACCTCTAAAACTCAAAATAACACTGAAATGAATAGGTTGAATTACATATCAACTTAAGTGACATAACTATGCAGAAAATAATTCTAGCATTTTGGCATTCTACCTTCACTTTATTGGGTACTAACAGCATTGTTATATTGAAAATACTATATTTTTATCTTTCAAAAAACATGTGTTTACCAGCTCTGTCCACTGAATCCATCCAGAAGAAATGGCAACCTACTATCAATGGGTAATCAAAATATTAGAAAGACTATTTTCAATCTTTGTTCATGAACAGTCTGAGATAACCACCGAGAAAGTGAGTTTATGCCTTTTCCTCCCTCAGGAAACAATGCTGACACTTTAAGCTGTTAAATAAATACAGAGTAATGCTGATCCATGCCAAATTTTTCAAGTCTAAGGTAAAGTTAGAAAAAATATTCTCTCTCTCTCTCTCTCTCTCTCTCTCTCTCTCTCTCTCACACACACACACACACACACACACACACACACACACACACCAGGTTATCATCCATTTGCCTCTAACAAAGCTCCATGGTCCATGGTCTCTCTCCTCCGCCCAGCTCCAATCCCAGGAGATACCCTGCATACAGCACTAACTCCCTGCAGGCTCTCTCCTAGTTAGGCTAAGGGAGGCAGGAATGAGAAATGAGAAGGAGAAGAGAGAGACAGAGGTATTTCTTCCCCACCTCCTCCCTGACTCTGGTAGTGGTTTCATCCTCACAGGTCTGACTTGCTCTTGGTGGGCTCTCCTCCACAATACCAGTTCTCCACGGGCTTCAGCCAAAGGGTACTCCTGACAGCCTGAAACTCTGAGCACATAACTATCCCTTAAACATGCCCACAGCTCTGTAAATTACTCTTAATTTCCCATCAATTGAGTTTACTCTGTTTCTTTCCCCACTCTGACCAATATGTGAACACATACACACACATACACATAAGCACACACCTATGGGCACACAATCACACACACACACATATATATGCACATATACACACATGCACACACAAACATACATTTATATACAGGTATATGCAAATAGATATGTGTATATATGGTTATACCTATATGTCCCCACATTATGCAAACATACTTATATTCATATATTCTATTCACATATACACACATAAACAAAACATGTATAAATAAGTATATATATAATTATACATGAACATACAAATATGCCTGTATAAAGTTGCCCAAAAACCTTACTACAATTTAATGTGAAAATGCATTATTTTTTTTGTTGTTGTTGTAAAGGAAAATAGAGTAGTTGATGGTCTCCTAAGTATGTTCCCAAAATTTCTATGGCTCTAAAACTTTATGACTCCAAATCAAATGTCTAGACACTGCATGACTGAGTAAAACCCATGAAGAAGCCATAGGGTCAAGGGAGGCATGCACCTGGAGAACAGGTGTCAAGGGACAGCATCTCTGCTCTGCAGGAGCCAGGTATGAAGAGAGTCAGGACCTGACTATCTCTGTGTCTTGCTGACTCCTCTGTGCACTAGGGATGGGAGTAAGAGCCCTACCAACCTCACCCTGTTTTGTTGGGAGGCTCCAACTGCACTAAGTGCTTCAGAAACATTAAAAGCATGAGAAAGATATAACTCATTCTATTTAATCAGGATCTGTACACTGATATACCAATAAATTCATACAGTGTCACTTTTCACCCCTCCCTCCCCCACCAAAAAGCCAACTCATACACTTAAGAGCACTCAAGACTGAAACAAACCTTGACAGAAAAATCCAGTCTATTTCTTCTAATCAGCAGGAATGCATCAAAAACCATTATGGACAGATGGGTATTTTGTTCTATTTTTAAAGACCTCCAGGGAAGGAGATTCTACAAACTGTCTCGGCAGCTCGTGTGCCAAAGCATTGTAGAATAACTTATAAATATATGAAGAGTTGAGAGGGCCTCCAGCATGCCGCTCAGCATGGGCATGCCCCCAGGAGCACCCCCACACTGCTAAGGAACATTCTGAAAATTCTAGCCATCCCTTGGATTATTCCTTCAGAAATTAAGTCGGGAAGTTAAAAAAAAAGATGATTCTGTGTTAACAGAAAAGATTCACAATAATATAAAATAAATGATAATACCAATCACAGAGATAGAATACTTCATAAATCAGGGTGGGAAAAATGGAGAGAAGCATTTTCATCCTGGCGCGTAATAGGTGCTCAAGAAACACTTACCATGAGTGTTAAATACATGTATTCTGAGAAGCCCAATCTGCCTCTCGTTCATATGTGGAAGAAATGTTTTCTTGATATTCTATCTGGAAGTGACCACAGCATGTCTGATTTAACACAGAAGCAACAAAAGTCTGAATTTCATTCTTTTGTCCAGGTACTGGCTCCCAACACCTGTTCTCTACCAACATAGGTAGACCCTGACTTAGTTCTAGGCCTCAGAGCTCTTCCTATGCAGGAACCCAGCAGGAATAAAAGAGGGAACAAGTGTTGGATGAAATCCAACCTATACTTCTTTATCTGTCCCCTCTCTAATTCATCTGGGCATCTTTGCTAATTTTGCATAAAGGCTCTATGTAAGCTGTAGCTTTTTTTTGGTCCCCACGCCTAGGTCTCCAGAATTTGAAGTTTATTACAGACTCATTTTTGGACACTGAATACCAATTTCTAAATTGGTAATTGTCATCTAGGGCAATTCTGTTCCCAGGAGACATTTAGTAGTATCTAGGGACATTTTTGACTGCCAAAAATAGAGGTTCTTAATGTCATTTGGTGGGTAGGAGCCAGGGATATTGCTAAACCTCCCATAATGTCAGAATAGTGGCCCACAAGCAAGAACTCTCTGACCCAAGATGTCAATAATGCCGAGACTAAGGAGTCCGGTGCCAGATTCAAATCCATTCTATAGTGCCTTCCGGGACCATGAAAGTGTTATCTATAACAGCTTACAGTAACTGATCTGCTCCAATGTCCACACCTCCGTTCACTGACTCCACAAATATTTAT